TGCAGGTTTTCCTACTTACAAAGCATGTAGAGGTCTGTAATTTTTATCATAGGTACACTTCAACTGTGAGAGACGGAATCTAAAACAAAAATCCAGAAAATCACATTGTATGATTTTTAAGTAATTCATTTGCATTTTATTGCATGACATAAGTATTTGATCACCTACCAACCAGTAAGAATTCCGGCTCTCACAGACCTGTTAGTTTTTCTTTAAGAAGCCCTCCTGTTCTCCACTCATTACCTGTATTAACTGCACCTGTTTGAACTCGTTACCTGTATAAAAGACACCTGTCCACACACTCAATCAAACAGACTCCAACCTCTCCACAATGGCCAAGACCAGAGAGCTGTGTAAGGACATCAGGGATAAAATTGTAGACCTGCACAAGGCTGGGATGGGCTACAGGACAATAGGCAAGCAGCTTGGTGAGAAGGCAACAACTGTTGGCGCAATTATTAGAAAATGGAAGAAGTTCAAAATGACGGTCAATCACCCTCGGTCTGGGGCTCCATGCAAGATCTCACCTCGTGGGGCATCAATGATCATGAGGAAGGTGAGGGATCAGCCCAGAACTACACGGCAGGACCTGGTCAATGACCTGAAGAGAGCTGGGACCACAGTCTCAAAGAAAACCATTAGTAACACACTACGCCGTCATGGATTAAAATCCTGCAGCGCACGCAAGGTCCCCCTGCTCAAGCCAGCGCATGTCCAGGCCCGTCTGAAGTTTGCCAATGACCATCTGGATGATCCAGAGGAGGAATGGGAGAAGGTCATGTGGTCTGATGAGACAAAAATAGAGCTTTTTGGTCTAAACTCCACTCGCCGTGTTTGGAGGAAGAAGAAGGATGAGTACAACCCCAAGAACACCATCCCAACCGTGAAGCATGGAGGTGAAAACATCATTATTTGGGGATGCTTTTCTGCAAAGGGGACAGGACGACTGCACCGTATTGAGGGGAGGATGGATGGGGCCATGTATCGCGAGATCTTGGCCAACAACCTCCTTCCCTCAGTAAGAGCATTGAAGATGGGTCGTGGCTGGGTCTTCCAGCATGACAACGACCCAAAACACACAGCCAGGGCAACTAAGGAGTGGCTCCGTAAGAAGCATCTCAAGGTCCTGGAGTGGCCTAGCCAGTCTCCAGACCTGAACCCAATAGAACATCTTTGGAGGGAGCTGAAAGTCCATATTGCCCAGCGACAGCCCCGAAACCTGAAGGATCTGGAGAAGGTCTGTATGGAGGAGTGGGCCAAAATCCCTGCTGCAGTGTGTGCAAACCTGGTCAAGACCTACAGGAAACGTATGATCTCTGTAATTGCAAACAAAGGTTTCTGTACCAAATATTAAGTTCTGCTTTTCTGATGTATCAAATACTTATGTCATGCAATTAAATGCAAATTAATTACTTTAAAATCATACAATGTGATTTTCTGGATTTTTGTTTTAGATTCCGTCTCTCACAGTTGAAGTGTACCTATGATACAAATTACAGACCTCTACATGCTTTGTAAGTAGGAAAACCTGCAAAATTGGCAGTGTATCAAATACTTGTTCTCCCCACTGTATGTGTGTGTTGACTGTGATCGGGGTAGGTGTGTCTTGTCTATTTAATAAACAAAATAATGAACTATTGATTTCATTCCTTTGGACGTAACATAAATTACATCCCCACAGCATGATGCTGCCACCACCATGCTTCACCGTAGGGATAGTGCCAGGTTTCCTCCAGACGTGACGCTTGGCATTCAGGCCAAAGAGTTCAATCTTGGTTTCATCAGACTAGAGAATCTTGTTTCTCATGGTCTGAGAGTCCTTTAGGTGCCTTTTGGCAAACTCCAAGCGGGCTGTCATGTGCCTTTTACTGAGGAGTGGCTTCCGTCTGGCCACTCTACCATAAAGGCCTGATTGGTGGAGTGCTGCAGAGATGTTTGTCCTTCTGGAAGGTTCTCCCATCTCAACAGAGGAACTCTAGAGCACTGTTAGAGCGACCATTTCCCCCGATTGCTCAGTTTGGCCGGGCGGTCAGCTCTAGGAAGAGTCTTGGTGGTTCCAAACTTCTTCCATTTAAGTATGATGGAGGCCACTGTGTTCTTGGGGACCTTCAATGATGCAGACATTTTTTGGTACCCTTCCCCAGATCTGTGCCTCGGCCCAATCCTGTCTCGGAGCTCTAGGTTTTTGCTCTTACATGCACTGTCAACTGTGGGACCTTATATAAAGACAGGTGTGTGCCTTTCCAGATCATGTCCAATCAATTGAATTTACCACAAGTGGACTCCAATCAAGATGTAGAAACATATCATTTTATTTGCAACGGCAAGCCAGACAAAATTAAACGGGCCTATTTATATAATGAATATGAATTTGGAGGACAGAAATTATTAAATATTAAAGCATTAGACCTATCACTAAAAGCTTCAATCATACAAAAGTTATACTTCAATCCGAACTGGTTCTCTAGTAAATTAGTAAGATTGTCTCACCCAATGTTCAAGAATGGCCTTTTTCCCTTTATTCAGATTACAACCACTCACTTTCAGTTATTTGAAAAGGAAATCATCTCCCATATATCCCTATTTCTAAAACAAGCCATAGAAAGTTGGCTGCAATTTCAATTTAATCCTCCAGAAACGACAGAACAAATAATGCCACAAATATTGTGGTTAAACTCAAATATACTAATTGACAAAAAAACTTTTTTTTTTGACAAAATGTTTAAAAAAGGTATATTCTTTGTAAATGATATCATCGGTAGGACTGGTGGAGTTATGTCGCACATGCAGCTAACAAAAACATATGGAAATGTCTGCTCTACTCAAAATTACAACCAAATAATTGCAGCATTACCGCAAAAATGGAAAAGGAAAGTGGAAGGGGGAAAAAGTAAGGAACTTGTCTGTCGGCCTTGCATTATAGAATATAATTGGTTAAAGAAAATTGTGATAAATAAAAAAGTATACCAGTTTCATTAAAGGACCAAAGGATTGACAGCCGTCCCATATAGATTGCAAAATTGTTGGGAAGAGATTTTTGATGTACCGATTCCATGGCATAGTGTTTATGAATTGATACGCAAAACGACGCCGGATTCAAAACTTAGAATTGTTCTATTTAAATTATTATATAAAATACTTGCTACCAATAGAATGTTATTTATATGGGGGATACAATCTTCCCAGCTCTGCAGATTTTGCTGCGAAGAGACAATCATTAGATCATTTGTTTTGGTACTGTCCATTTGTAGCTTGTTTTTGGACACAGGTCCAGGAATGGCTAAAGGATTGCAATATTTACCTGGAGCTAACTCTGCAGAAAGCACTACTGGGTGATCTGAAAATTCATAATCGATCAATAATATTATAATATTTTTAGCAGAAATGTTTATTTTCAATTCACAATCTGTAGAAACAATGAGAATAGAACAGTTCAGAGCTTTTGTAAGACATCACAGTACAGTTGAAATATATATGGCAAATAGAAATCCTATATGGATGGTGTTAAAAGATAGATGGGAGGTGTTGAATGGAATTGAAGGATGGGACTAATAACAACTAACAACAAACAATAACAAGATAACTAATAATGTAGGCACGCTGTGTCCATAATAAGTGTATGGGTTGTGGGTTGGGAGCTTTTGTGAAGGAGCACAGTTAGAAAGATATGGCATATAGAAGCAAACCGGTTGGACATCATGAAAATGATCGGAGAGGTTGAGAGTAGAAGAAGTTCAGGAGAAAGAACAAACAAAATGTAATTATTGTAAAATTGACTGTGTCCATAAAATGTAGATAGTGGGTATGGGGTGGAAGTAGAGGCCTAGGCGTTGTTGTTCACTAGTTTACTCCAAGTGGGGAAAGGGTGGCGGGGTTGGAAAGTAATAAAGGGGAATATATATATATATATTTTTTTAAAGGATATGTATGTATGTATGTATGTATGTATGTATGTATGTGGGTGTGTATGTGTGTGTGTATGTGTGTGTATATATATATATATATATGTATATGTGTATGTATGTGTGTATATATATATATATATATATAAACATGGGGGATTGGAAGTGATGCAGACAATTACATTGATGGAAGTTACAATCTATCTGTAATATTAAGCTGATCTACCCCAAAAAATTAAATTAAATAAAAACATATCAAGGATGATCAATGGAAACAGGATGCACCTGAGCTCAATTTCGAGTCTCATAGCAAAGGGTCTGAATAAATATGTAAATTAGGTATTTCTAAAAACCTGTTTTTGCTTTGTCATTATGGGGTATTGTGTGTAGATGTGTAGATGAGGAATTTGTTTTATTTAGTCCATTTTAGAATAAGGCTGTAACGTAACAAAATGTGGAAAAAGTCAAGGGGTCTGAATACTTTCCGAATGCGCTGTAGATAGTGGCTGAGCATGGAGCTGGGGCTGGGGCTGGGCCTGCACTCGTGGGGAAGAGAGAGAGTATATTCTCAATGGTTGGTTATTCCCTGAAGTGTGTACCTGAGTTAAGAGGGCTTTTTCACATAAAGAGCTGGGCTGAAGGTAGAGGCTCTACACAAATAACATAATCTGTGGAGAAGCCTGCTGCAAAGAGACAGCCTCAGCCCCATGCCCAGCCTCAGCCAGAGGATGCCAGTCCATGCATGCAGGGGGAAGAAAATCGACTGCAGAGAACACAGCACTCACCAGGCTAGATAAAGGAAGGCAGGAGGGATGGATGCATGCACGCTATACTTGACAGACATAGTGGGTGTTATTATGCACTGGCCTTCCAGACACTGGGATTGTAAACTCCATTTGTGACTGTCTCCTAGGAGCTAAAGTACACAAACAACACATTTTATATTCAACATATTCACGACTTACCCACAGCTGGCAAATGAATATACTTCAATCTACTGATGTACTTCAATCTACTGTATGTTGATTGTCTAATAATTTTCTATGAATTCTCATATTTACATAATTCTTAACAAGGTTATTATTTTCTTTCGTCAGTGGTGGAACCCTGTTGACCATCAGTGGAACTAACCTGGCCACCATCAGAGAGCCTAAGATCAGAGCCAAGTATGGCTCCGCCGAATCCTTCCATGTGAGTATGGACCTGGCCCAGACCCCTTCAAAAACACCTCACTCACACACACCTCATCGCCTGGTGTGTCTTCCAAGGGTGGCCATCAGACTGTCTGCCAATTCTGTCTCCTGTTTCTACCCTGCTCCTTGAAACAAAACATCCAACACTCCCCCAGGCCGTTTAACCTTTAAAATGTCCCAGGATGACAAAGCTGTGTTGGCAAATCGCCCCTCACCCCCTCACCTTGCACCATGGGGCTCCATTAACCTTTCCTCCAGTTCTACTGGAAGGGAATCAACTTCTGCTTAATGACCTTGTCCTAATGGCTCGTCCCTTGTGCTCAGTTCAAACTAGCTTTTACTATAGACACAATGCTGTGTTGGTTAGCATGTTAAGTGGTCCATGTAGAGAAGCATACAACATAGGTGAAGTGATTATTACAGTTCTGAATCTACTAGCAATGTCTGGAGACATAAAAGCCAACACAGCAAAGCAGTAATATTTTCCTAGAATGTTTAGCTGGGAATTAGAGAAACTGTAATGAGATTCATAAAACCAATATTTGTATGGGTTTTTAAGTAACATGGGTCCTCTAGGGCAGTAGTCTCAACTGGTTTTGCCTCAGGTCCCAAATTTAACCAGGTTGTCTCAGTCGCGACCCAATATTAGCATTGCGGGAAAGAATCCCCAAAATCTGGAAATGTAACAAGGTGAGTAGGACGGAGCCAGGTGCAGGAGGTTGAATCATATAATAGGGTTTATTAGGCCAATACAGCAGTCCACAGCAATGTGTAAACCAAATACAGTGAGACTTAAATGCGTACTGGGAAAACAAAACACACTGTGAATATCCCGGCGATAAAATTAACATAATGCTCAACACGAGCTAGCGACAGCTCCACATGGAACAATAACACACAAAGACATGGGGTAGCAGAGGGAATAATTATACAGAGACTGATGAGGGGATACGAACCAGGTGTGTGTGAAAAACAAGACAAAACAAATGGAATGATGAAAAGAAGAGCGGCAGTGGCTAGAAGGCCAATGACGACGAACGCCGAATCCTGCCCGTACAAGGAGATGAGGCAGCCTCGGAGGGTGTCGTGACAGTACCCCCCCTTGACACGCAGCTCCAGCAGCGTGCCGACACCGGCCCCGGGGACGGCAGGAGGACGTGGAGCAGGGCGATCCGGATGGTGACTGTGGACCCAGCACCGCTCTTCCGGACCATACCCCTCCCACTCCACAAGGTACTGAAGGACCCCCGCCCGACGCCTCGAATCCAGGATGGAACGGACGGAGTACGCCAGGGCCCCCTCAATGGAACCTCCCGCACCTCAGACTCCTGGAGCAGACCAGCCACCACCAGCCTGAGGAGAGACATGTGAAATGAGGGGTTAATACGGTAATCAGGAGGGAGCAGCAACCTATACGTAACCTCGTTCACTCTCCTCAGGACTTTGAATGGCCCCACAAACCATGGGCCCAGCTTCCGGCAGGGCAGGCGGAGGGGCAGGTTCCGGGTTGAGAGCCAGACCCGATCACCCGGTACAAAGACCGGGGCCTCACTGCGGTGGCGGTCAGCGTTGGTCTTCTGGTGAAGCACAGCGCGCTGGAGGTGGACATGGGAGGCATTCTACGTCTCCTCCGCACGCTGAAACCAGTTGTCCACCGCAGGAGCTTTTGTCTGGCTCTGATGCCACAGTGCCAGGACCGGCTGATACCCTAAAACACATTGAAATGGTGACATGTTAGTGGAGGAGTGGCGGAGAGAGTTCTGGGCAAATTCGGCCCATGGCAAGAACACCGACCACTCCCCTGGCCGGTCCTGGCAGTAGGACCGCAGAAACCTACCCACATCCTGATTCACCCGTTCATTAGATTCGTGGTGAAACCCAGAAGTCAGGCTGACCGAGACCCCCAGACGTTCCATGAACGCCTTCCAAACCCTAGACGTAAACTGGGGACCCCGGTCAGACACTATGTCCTCTGGCACCCCGTAGTGCCGGAAGACGTGAGTAAAAAGGGCTTCTGCAGAACCTTAGGCAAGGTAGACCACCAGTACTTCCCGGTAAGGCAGCGCACTGTATGGCCGATGCTTGGGTGACCAGAGGAGGGGGACATGTGTGCCCAATAGATAAGACGATCACGGACACTAGACGGCACATACCGAAGCCCAGCTGGGCACTGAGGTGGAGATGGCTCTGTGCGTAACGCCCGCGTCCACCGCCCACACCACCGGCGCCACAATGCAGGAGGCCGGGAGTATGGGGGTGTTATCAATGGGCCTCTCCTCTGTGTCGTACAGCCGTGACAGTGCGTCTTCCTTTACGTTCTTAGTGCCTGGTATATAGGACAGCATGAAATCAAACCGGGTGAAGAACAAGGCCCACCTGGCCTAGCGAGGGTTCAGCCTCCTCGCTGCCCAGATGTACTCCAGGTTACGGTGGTCAGTCCAGACGAGGAAAGGGTGTTTAGCCCCCTCGAGCCAGTGCCTCCATGCTGTCAGGGCTCTGACAACAGCCAACAGCTCCCGATCACCAACGTCATAGTTCTGCTCCGCCGGGCAGAGCTTCTTAGAGAAGAAGGCACAGTGGCGGAGCTTGGGTGGCATGCCCGAGCGTTGGGATAGGACAGCTCCTACCCCTACCTCGGATGCGTCCACCTCCACTACAAACGGCAATGAGGGATCGGGATAGACCAGTACCGGGGCTGAGGTGAACAAAGCCCTCAGGGTACTGAAAGCCCTGTCAGCCTCAGCAGACTAGCGTAGCCGGTGACAGCCCACCCTTCAATTGCGATGTGATGGGGGATGCGACCTTGCCAAAGCACCGGATAAACCTCCGATAGTAATTGGCAAAGCCAATGAATCGCTGCACCTCCTTAACCGTGGTTGGAGTCTGCCAATTACGCACGGCTGAAATGCGGTCTCCCTCCATCTCCACACCTGGTGGTGATGTGGTATCCGAGGAAGGAGACGGATTGTTGGAAGAACAGACATTTTTCTTCCTTTGCATACAGGTCATGCTCCAACAGTCACCCGAGCACTCTGCGAACCAGGGACATATGCTCGGCGCGTGTAGCGGAATACACCAGGATTTTATCGATGTAGACCACCACACCACGACCAAGCATGTCCCGAAACACCTCGTTCACAAAGGACTGGAAGACTGATGGAGCATTCATTAACCCGTACGGCATCACCAGGTATGCATAATGCCCTGTGGTGGTGCTAAATGCTGTCTTCCATTCATCCCCTTCCCAAACACGCACCGGCTTGTACGCACTCCTGAGATCTAATTTCGTGAAGAAGCGCGCCCCATGCATTGATTCGATCATAGAGAAAATTAGGGGTAGAGGATAACTATAGCAAATTGTAATTTTATTAAGTGCATGGTAATCAATGCAAGGGCGCAGACCCCTGTCTTTCATCTTCACGAAAAATAAACTAGAGGACGCGGGTGAAGTGGAGGGACGTATGAACCCCTGACTCAGGGACTCGGAGACGTATGTTTCCATAGCCCCTGTTTCAGCCTGTGACAGGGGATATACATGACTCCTGGGCGGCACAGCGTCTAACCGGAGGGTTATCGCGCAATCCCCCGAGCGATGGGGTGGTAATTTGGTCAGCCTGCGTTTTGGAAAAGGTATGTGCCAAATCGAGGTATTCGGGGGGGATGCGCATGGTGGAGGCATTGTCTGGACTTTCCACCGTGGTCGCACCAACGGAAACAGCTAGACACCTACCCTGACACTCTCGCGACCACACCGTGAGAGCCCTCTGCGGCCATGAAAAGGTGGGGTCGTGTAGTGCTAGCATGGGAAGGCCCAACACAAGAGGGAAATCAAGGGACTCAATAATATGAAACGTGATTTGCTCATTATGGGTCTCCTGCGTAATCATAGTGACTGGTGCGGTAACCTCCCTAACAAAACCTGACCCTAATGGTCGATTGTCAAGGGCTTTGACGGGTTAAATTCAATTATTTAAATATGTAAATTCACTATCATTTCTACAAATGTTCTACCTGGATTAGGCTTTCAGTTTACTCTTGAAAGTTGTAATAGTAGAATGCACAAGGTGCAATTTCGAAATTGGGTAGTGCATCAGCAGTTTTCCTCTTGTCATGTCAGTCATTGCGGACCTTAGAGAGATATTTATAACTTGTCAGAAATGTCCAGATCAACTAGCCCATGTCAGCTAAAGGTTTTTTAGCGCATTGATTTTGTTGTAATGTTTGAGTCACTCAGATATCTCATAAGACATGGCAGAATGTGTTCCCCAATGAAGCAAGGAGAGCCCGAGTGAAAAAGTTTGGGAACCACTGCTGTAGGGGAACATACAATTTGTCATCTCACACTTTTCTAATTTATTTAATTTTCTCTTTTCCTTCCCCCGTCCCTCTCAGAACTGCACAGTGTTTAATAACTCAGTGATGGTGTGCCTGGCCCCGTCGGTTACCGACTCCGAGAGGGGCTTCTCAGACACGGGCAGTGGGCCGGATGAGATCGGCTTCTACATGGACAACGTCCACGCTCTGGTGGTGGTCAACGAGACATTCAGCTACTACCCTGACCCCGTGTTCGAACCCCTCAGCCCCACCGGGGTCCTGGAACTCAAACCCACCTCCCCTCTCATCCTCAAGGTAAGAGAGGCTGAGTGCCAGCAGGGCAGAGTGGTTGGAGCAGGGGGTGAACACTGAGGACCAGAGGGGCTCAGTAATTTCAATGAGTCACAGAAATTGATATTTTCAAGTGTCTACCAGGGAATTATCTTTCACCTGTCTGTCTTATAAATCATTTATGTAATTGTATTTGTTTATCCCTATTGAAATACAGTGTATAAACCTACTATTACATAAAATATATTTTTAGGTTTTTGGATTACAGCAAATGTAATCCACTGGATTATTCGAGGTAGATTATACAATGTTACATGTATCCCTTAGCTCCAACTCTAAACATCAAAATTGTGATGGTTGTGAATCAAATTATCCTCTGAACCAATATAAAAAACAACAACATAAGAACCATCATTTATTTGTTAAATGAAAATGAAATGTATTAACTAAATCTTTTCTGATTGCAGAGAGATTCCCCCACCTGGTTTGTTAAAACTAACCTTCACATTAGCACAGTGATGAGAATAAGAAAATGTAATTTGCTGAAATAATCAGGGTTATTTTACGAGATGCGCATCGCATTCGCCATGCAGTTAATTTTTCATCTGGTGCGCGGGGTGGGGTGTTGGGTGCATGGCTGATGCAGGGTGAATTGATCGTGAATAGAATGCATGCCTAAAGTGTTCCAGGGCGTGACCTGCCTGGGAGGAGCCCTGTGGAGAGAGGGATTGGAAGACTGAGTCTTCTCCTCTCTCATGCTGCTAGAGCAGTGGGTGGCACAACAGCTCTCTCTATCTCTCTCTCCCCCCACCTGCTCTTCTCCGCCACCCTTCTGTTGTTGCTGCTCTCTCTCTAGAGTTGAAGGCTACAGGGCTCAATGGCCTCGCTCTCACACCTAGGCAAAGAGAGATGCTTGGACAAAAATATATGTTTTCCAAAGCTTTTGTCAGATTGAAATTGTGCGACCTCCAACAACGGCTCCAAATGAGCCCCGCCAAAGTCTGTTACATTATAGAACATATCTTGCCTCGCTACCAGTGCACGGCTTTGTGTGGTTCATTCTGTGCCTGGCCTTGGTTGAAAGGATTGGGTCAGACAAAAATTCTGAAACATTTGACACTGTGTTTTTGTGTGTTTCCTTCCAGGGTCGTAACCTAATCCCTGCAGCGCCTGGTAACTCCAGGCTGAACTACACGGTGTTCATCGGGGAGACCCCCTGTGTGCTGACCCTGTCTGAGACCCAGCTGCTGTGTGAATGGCCCAACCTCACTGGACAGCACAAAGTCACAGTGAGCACTCACTCTATACCATTTTATTTCACATGGCACACTGTCTCCCTTGACTTTACTGTGTTTTATGTAACCTTTGTATATACTCAAAATGTGTTTGCCTAATTTCAGTGCACTACTTTCTAGATATCCTCAAATACACACACAGTCGCCTCCAAACTTATCGCACTATCTGTGTGACATTTACTAGTCTGGAAAGACATTGAAAGTACTGACATGTAATTCAATATGATGGCTCTCCAAACTACCAGTACACTTGGACCTGGATTCTTTTTTCTTTGCAACTAAATGTCATGTTGAATATTGAAGAAATACACTTTTCAAGGGTTGGTATAGTAATTCATTCCTCTTGACAGTGGCATTTTAAAAATAGAACTGTCTGTTTCCATCCTCTCTGTGCTGTGTATGTATGTGTGTGTGTGTGTGTGTGTGTGTGTGTGTGTGTGTGTGTGTGTGTGTGTGTGTGTGTGTGTGTGTGTGTGTGTGTGTGTGTGTGTGTGTGCGCTGTGGGGTGGGCTGGGGAGAAGGGCACAGCTGTGTGTTCTATTGCCTCTGTAGAGTGACCTACATACAGGGGACCCCAGTAGGCGTCCGGCCCGCCGCACAAGGCTATGTCTCTGTATGTGTGCCAAGTCTGGTTTGTGTGTGTGTGCATGTTGTTTTGTTTGCCCCCTCAGATGCACAGCTGTGTGTTGGCGGCTGTGCCCCCTGCAAGTTTTCTAAGAAACTTTTTATGGCTTAAGGTTTTTCTGTTCTCATCAGTCCCTTCCCTGTCAATACAATAGAAAATAGATGATGTTTAGAAACTGTCATCAACAGGAGGAACTTATAGCACCTGAACCAAAACAACCCAATTTTACAAGTCTTTAACATTCTTTGACTGTGTTAACTTGATACTTTAAAGTGCAGTAATCATAGCTCATTGAATACTTATCAACCCCCCACTGAATACTTTGATTTGAGATATTCCAGTGATGGGTTCACTCAGACCTGCTGCGTTTATGTAAATGTGGTTTGTTAGAACCCATTCCCTGTGTTTTACTCCTATTAATGACTTTGGTTCCTGAGGGGTTGATTCTTTCACTGTAGTGATTGCTTTGTTTGATTAGCACTGTGACGTGTTTCTCTATGTTTTTCTGTGTGTGTGTTCAGATCCGGGTGGGTGGGTTCGAGTACTCCCCTGGGACTCTCCAGATCTACTCAGACAGCCTGCTGACCCTGCCCGCCATCATCGGCATCGGGGGAGGTGGTGGTCTGCTGCTATTGGTCATCATCGCTGTGCTCATCGCCTACAAGAGGAAGTCCCGTGATGCTGACCGCACCCTGAAACGCCTGCAGCTACAGATGGACAACCTGGAGTCCAGAGTGGCCCTCGAGTGTAAAGAAGGTACGGACAGTCACACATATCCCTCTCTCTCTCCCCCTCACTCTCCCTCTTTCATAATCACTCTCTTATTCTCTTTCTGTGTGTATATGTCACTGTGCTGTAGCTGCACTCTGTCCAGTCGTCATGGTAACAGGTTGGTGTGGCTGATGCGAGAGGGCTGCTTGCTCCTTGGTGGTGTGGTCGCGGTATCCTCTGAATGTGTGAGTGTGTCTGTGTGTTGTGTGGACAGCCAAGTTGGTGTTGAGGTGCGTCTATGCTGCCCACTGAGAGATGGACGGAGACTAATTGGTCATTATCTGTGGATTGCCATCCGGAGGGTCATAGCCTTGTCAGTCTCAGCCCACAGCTCAGCCTGTCACCAAACTGATGGATACAGAGATGGGGAGGAGAAGTCTGGCAGGGAGAGAGAGAAGAGAGACAGGGACTATGTGGGGTCAGATGGAACAGTACAGGGGACATTGGAGAGTGATTGATTTAAAGCTTTAAAGCTCCTGTTACTCGACATGTATACCTGATATAATTAGCATTCTTGCCACACATGCTCAAAACAATACACATGCCATGATTTATTTACAACAAACACAGCAGCAGCACACAACAGACATGAGTTCCTTTACACACCAGTCTCAGAACTGACAGACCAGCAGCACCAGATAGTAATCTACACCTCTGCCTCTGTAGCTGGGAAGTTTGGGCAACGATGTGAGGGAAAAACCCTGAGTGCCACCAGGAAGTGGAGCGTTGCTGTGTCCCCACCCCCTGCCCCGCCCCTCCTGCTGGAGGCCCAGCCGGGCTATGCTACCCAGGCGATGGGGATGGGCGGTGCAGCAGACGGGGGGGCGGGCCTGGTTGCGGGGAGGTGGGCATGTCCCACTAAGTGTCAGTCAGCAGGGGAGGGGAGGATTGGATGATAGGAGACGTGGAGCTCAATGAGACGTGCTGTAAGGGCCATCAGAGAGCAGTGTAATCCAAACAAACACACAGACAAAACTAACAGTCACACGACTAATGGCCCATTAACAACAGATTAGATGCTGCTGCAACTGTTGATGGGTAGAAGATCTGTTGTGTAGTTTACTCTGCTGGATGTAATGGTTGCTTTGGCACGGTGCTTCGACACAACAAACTCAATAGAATGAAGGATAACTATTTTATTTACTAAATTAATGGAAAGTCTAGATTCAGCCAGACACATTCCCTGTCAACAGAATGTTTTATTATTCACATAATAACTTTGATAGTTATTTTATCTCTATGAATAATTGGACCCATACTGAAAGGCCCATATATGCATGATAATAAAGCCTTAATTAACCTGTAGGAATCGTGCAGTCTGTATAATATTTGAGTGGCTGCTGCACTGTATGTAGAAATAGAGATGCCCTTACAGAAGGGGGAGCTTAGCACTCTACTATTAGCATCCCAGTGGACGATGCAGTCCAATAACAGCTGGAGGAAATGCTGCATAAAATGCATTGCTCCTTTATTAATTATCCACTCATGTAATTCATTGACTTTCTTTCCGATGAACTTTGTTTTCTCTTTTTTTCTTTCCATCGTCTCTCTCCTTTTCTGTAACAGTTTATTTTCTTACGTTTAGCTCTTCTCTTGAATTACCAACAAGTATGGATTAAATTCAAAAACACAACAGAAGAATGAAATCAACATTCTATCCCTCTGTCTTTTTCTCTAAGCCAATTAGTGCAGTATTGGTGTGGTGGTATATGTTTGCTGTTGACATTGATTATACTGTGCAACACACAGTTGTAACATTGGAATACACACACATACAGTGTAATGAAGATACAGTACTTCCAGAATATCCTTCTATGTCCATTCTTACCCAGTGCAACTGGCTGTGCATCGCTGTGTTTAAGTGTCTATATCATAGTAAGGTAATTCTCTGTCTGTGTGTTCCCTCAGCCTTTGCAGAGTTGCAGACAGACATCCATGAGCTGACCCAGGAGCTGGACGGAGCGGGCATCCCCTTCCTTGAGTACAGGACCTATGCCATGCGTGTCCTCTTCCCTGGCATCGAAGATCACCCCGTGCTCAAGGAGATGGAGGTACGGGTCAAGGAGGTACACCACCACTGCCATCGCAGCATGTAGAATAGAATATCTACACCACTATCTATACTAATCTGTATCTATATCTATATCTAATACCCCACACTCTGCATGTTAGAGGAAACCTTTGACTCACCAAAATCCCATGTCACAGCCCGGGAAGGTACAGAGAACTGTATGTATGTAGCATGATATCATTTCATACAGGCTATCATTAAGCCAATGAAATGGTCATATGATATGGCTATAATCATTTCATATACAGTATCTTCACGTAGGAGCTTCTCTCTCGTCATGTATCAATGTCATTACATATATTTCAAATATGCTACTAGATCCCACCTGGTTCAGCATGAAATATATGCAAATGCCTGTCAGAATACAGTGTAGAGACTCTCTACCTCCCCTCCCTGTCAACCACAGGCTCTTCTAAAGGGGAGGTATCGGGGAGGGATTACATCTTTATTGTTATGTCCGTATTTCTTTTCCACTGAATTTCCCCTCGGGTGCCAGGCGTAATCAAGTGTCCATACACACGGCTCAATCCCTTATTGCTCTGTGTAGCTGCTCTCCCCAAAGCAACCTACAGTACCCATGCTGCTCCCCCAGAGGACCCAGAATTTCATTTAGCTCCACTGAGGAAAATTGAGGCACTTTATTAGGCCGTGTAGTGGAAGGAAGAGAGATTCTGTGAAGTCAGAGCGCATGGTGTATGGTACGGCGGTCCTCGATTGGCTACAGGACTAGATGTGTTTCAGAGTTATGAGGTCAGACGAGGATCATGGGAGGCATGCGGGCGGGGGGATGGGGATGGAGCCAGGCGATTGGCTAATGGAGGAGGAAGTGTTTTTTCATAAAGACAGAGACAGTACTTTGATTTGATTTTCCTTTTATTAACACGTACTGGGTGTTGTTTAGGCATAACATTATGCCGTAAGCCTTGCAGAATATACTAGATGTTTGTCTCCCTTTTTATTAAGAGACACTACCCTTGTTTTTCTGAGCAGTAGCACTGCCTTGTCTATGTGAGAGAGTTAGAGTGAAGGATTGTGGGTCAGGTCTAGAGGGGGCCGTAGCATTGCTGATGAGAAGTGACAGATGCCAGCCTATGGAACAAGCTTCTGTCACCCAGCCACCCTCGGACACACAGCACTGCACAGGTCCTCTCCTTTCTACGCCCCAGTGCATCCCCCCTTCCTTTTCCTCCTCCCTCCTTCCTTTCTGTTTTCTCCTGTGCTCAGCTGACGACTTAGGGCAAATTGATCATAAGACATTTTAAGAAACATCTCCTAAGATCGAATGCACTGTACTTGTGCTCGTGACAATAAACTTGAAACTTGAAAATGCACTGCAGGCTTTAAAAGCAGCTACGGTCATGAATGTAAATCTAACAATGGCCTCATAGGCCAAGATGTCAGGTCTTGCATACATTACATAGCCATGCTCTAAATAATGCTTAGATCAGTTATTGTTGTGTTATTGACATTAGTCTTACTCCATGTATTTACATTATACCATTTACATTAGCCCTACCCCACATAAAAAACAGTTTACTATAGAATACTACAGTACTTACTAGAATTATGTAGTAAACTGTAGTATACTGTAGAATACTATAGTAAATACTACAGTATCCTACAGACTACAAAAACACTACAGTAAATACTACAGTAATGTCCGCAAAAACACTACAGTCCGCAAAAACACTACAGTAAATACTACAGTAATATTACAAAAACGCTACTGTCCGCAAAAACACTACAGTAATTACTATAGTATATTCTACAGTATTTAATTTGCCTATACCCTGCCCATTCCCTTCCCCATAATCCCAATTTGTGCCACCAATAAGTGAGAAACCTACATGCCCAAGTATAGATGATATATTGTGTTCCCTACAGGTTATAGAAAAGAGCAAAAGCTCTGAACTATCCATTCAGACCTCAGTCCTACCAACCTACAGGTTATGAAAAATTTGCTCTTTGAGATTTTTGTCCAGTAGGTTTCCTAAAGGAGAAATCCCAAACTCCTATGTCAAAGATCCCCCCCCCCCCAAAAAAAAGACTACACTAAATACTACAGTAATGTCCGCAAAACCAATAAAGTAAATAACACAGTATACTACAGTTTGCAAAAACAGTACAGTAATTACTATAGTATAGACTACAGTTGTTTTTTACTATGGTATTTATACTAAAGTCAACTGTAAATACTATAGTATTTAAACTTTAAGTATTTTTTTATCTGGGGTACTCCACATATTTACATTACATTTACAACACATGTAAGTGACAGCCAGTCCCATGGTCTGATAAGGGGATGTCATGTTGTTTCCTGATAGGTCCAGGCCAACCAGGAGAAGGCCTTGACCCTGTTCGGCCAGCTACTCACCAAGAAGCACTTCCTGTTGACGTTCATCCGCACCCTGGAGGCGCAGCGCTCCTTCTCCATGCGTGACCGCGGCAATGTGGCGTCGCTCATCATGACAGCGCTGCAGGGGGAGATGGAGTACGCCACAGGGGTTCTCAAACAGCTTCTCTCTGACCTCATCGACAAGAACCTGGAGAGCAAGAACCACCCCAAGCTGCTACTGCGCCGGTGAGACGGACACATTCACACACTTGTCCAATGACACATTCACACAATCACCCACTCACACATACGTCTGCTGACACACTCACTCACACATTTGTTGTATCACACATTTCTTAACACACTGACTTGTGTACAACTGTTTAATAAATCATATTACTCTTACATACAGTGCATTCGGAAAGTATTCAGACCCCTTGACTTTTCCCACATTATGTTACGTTACAGCCTTATTCTAATAATGATTAAATTAATTGTTTTCCTCATCAATCCACACACAATACCCCATAATGACAAAGCGAAACAGGTTTTTAGAAATGTTTGCAAATGTATAAAAAAAAAAAAAAACTGAAATACCTTATTTACATAAGTATTCAGACCCTTTTCTATGAGACTCGAAATTGAGCTCAGGTGCATCCTGTTTCTATTGATCATCCTTGAGATATTTCTACAACTTGATTGGAGTCCACCTGTAGTAAATTCCATTGATTGGACATGATTTGTAAAGGCACACACCTGTCTATAGCTTGAGAGTCCCACAGTTCACAGTGCATGTCAGAGCAAAAACCAAGCCATGAGGTCGAATGAATTGTCCGTAGAGCTTCGTGACAGGATTGTGTCGAGGCACAGATCTGGGGAAGCGTACCAAAAAATGTATGCAGCATTGAAGGTCCCCAAGAACACGGTGGCCTCCATCGTTCTTAAATGGAAGACGTTTGGAACCACCAAGACTCTTCTTAGAACTGGCCGCCCGGCCAAACTGAGCAATCGGGGGAGAAGGGCCTTGGTCACTCTGACAGTTCCTCTGTGGAGATGGGAGAACCTTCCAGAAGGACAACCATCTTTGCAGCACTCCACCAATCAGTCCTTTATGGTAAAGTGGCCAGACGGAAGCCACTCCTCAGAAAAAGGCACATGACAGCCTGCTTGGAGTTTGCCAAAAGGCACCTAAAGGACTCTCAGACCATGAGAAAAAATATGATCTGGTCTGATGAAACCAAGAGTGAACTCTTTGGCCTAAATGCCAAGCGTCACGTCTGGAGGAAACCTTGCACCATCCCTACGGTGAAGCATGGTGGTGGCAGCATCATGCTTTGGGGATGTTTTTCAGTGGTAGGGACTGGGAGACTAGTAAGGATCGAAGGAAAGATGAACGGAGCAAAGTACAGAGAGATCCTTGATGAAAACCTTCTCCAGAGCGCTCAGGACCTCAGACTGGGGCGAAGGTTCACCTTCCAACAGGACAATGACCCTAAGCACACTGCCAAGACAACGCAGGAGTGGCTTCGGGACAAGTCTCTGAATGTGCTTGAGTGGCCCAGCCAGAGCCCGGACTTGAAGCCAATCGAACATCTCTGGAGAGACCTGAAAATAGCTCCCCATTCAAACTGACAGAGCTTGAGAGGATCTGCAGAGAAGAATGGGAGAGACTCCCGAAATACAGGTGTGCCAAGCTTGTAGCGTCATACCCAAGAAGAATCGAGGCTGTAACCACTGCCAAAGGTGCTTCAACAAAGTACTGAGTAAAGGGTCTGAATACTTATGTAAATGTGATATTTCCGTTTGTTTAATTTTTTATATATTTGCAACAATTTCCATTTTTTTTTTTTGCTTTGTCATTATGGGGTATTGTGTGTAGATTGATGAGGGAAAACAACTATTCTATCCATTTTAGAATAAGGCTGTAACGTAACAAAATGTGGAAAAAGTACATATTGTATTTCCCTATTCTCTCAAACCATATAGCCATTGGTGTAGTGGAGGGTAAACGCAAGTAAACACAGTTTAGCCACCTTTTTGTTGCCCAACAGTTAACAATTTTTGCAGAAAAAGTCATTCAAAATATAGGGAGCGTTACTTTTTTCACCGTGACCGCCGATCAGGGTTTACACAATCATTTTTTTAACACTACATCACTATATATAGCCAAACCAAGATGGAGGACTTAAACCCAAACAAATGGCCAAATCAAAGTCTTAGTTAAAGATGCACTGTGCTGAAATCGCTCCGCCATTCCCTGGTTGCAAAAATTATAATAGTTCGCCTAATTTCAGCTTATGTGACAAAACAAGCAAGTACAGTGTAAAGAATCATTGTACCATCTAAACCGCTGAATTTTTTTTTTTCCATAACCAAAAATATTGTATTTTCAGCTGTTTGAAGTTGGTGTGCAAAACCGAACGTAAAAGACGCAAAAACTAAACTTAAGCACGAGAAGCATAGAAATAGCTCACAGAACAGATCTACCACTTCTTTGACTTGCTTTCAATGAGAATGACCGATCTATAACTCATATTTCTATGTGAATTTGGTCAGGTTGCCCAAAAAGTTACATATTGCAGCTTTAGGGGTGTTTTGTAGAAGTTTTCTTCCTATCACCCCTCCTCCCTGTGCCGCCTTTTAATATAGATTAACTAGATAATTAAGGAGAGAAAGTAGCTTTTCTAGCCGCTGTAGGGGGAGGAGAAAGGGGAAACGGAAAAGGAGCATGCTGTTTGCCCAGGTTTCCTCTCTGGATATTAGGATAAATAAATTGCAGTAGATTTTAATTGCTCCTCGTCTGGGGGACATTTCAGGGGTCTTTGTTCGTTAGGCAACAGGTTTATGATTAACGAGAGAAGTTACCCAATTATGATAATTGTCTGTTTTTAATGAAGATTGGTTGTTTGCTTTGAGAATAAAGTATTTGTTTTAAGACCTTTTTCCACTTATGGAAGTATCAGTATTAGTCTAAAACTAAAACTAGATTTATTCCTAGTTAGTTTTGAGGTATAGCTGCAATTTCTTCTAGTTGATTATTTACTTCTAGTTGATTATTGAACTATCATGTCTTATTTAGCCTCCTCTTGCCTTACATTTCTCTGTTAGAACGGAGTCTGTTGCTGAGAAGATGCTGACCAACTGGTTCACTTTTCTCTTGTACAAGTTCCTAAAGGTAAGCCCACCATCAAAACACCAAACTTAGCTCTGACCAGATGAGCTAGCAACCCCTCAACTCCACCACTCTCTCTCTTCTATCAATTGTGATTCGTTTTGTTTTCCCCCTTCCCTGTTTCTCATTATGGGTTAGGACACTATTAGTCTTTTAGTCTGTTTAAGGCTCCAACTAGAGACGTTTCTCTTTATTTCATTCGTTTGTTGCGTCATTATTTCTTTGACGGATATGTTCTAGCCTGCGGTCATTAGGAGCTGTGGGGGTGTGGCGTTCAACTGGTCCTTCTCTCTTCACTCTCCTCTCACTCTCCCTCACTCCCTCGTGGAAGAGTGTAAAATTACCCCCTAATGAAGCCGGGATGTGGAAATAAAGATAATTTCACAGACAAGCGTGCCGTGGTGAGGGGTAGGGAGTGATGTAAGCGTGTTCCCTATCGTTAGCAGCTGTCTGGTTAATTAGCGCAGATGCTAACGAGACGTTAACAGCATATGTAGGGAGAGAGAGGGAGAGTTTGTATTTGTATTTATTATGGATCCCCATTAGCTGTTGCCAAAATCCATGTGTACATGTGTGTATAGTGCGTATGTTATCGTGTGTTTGTATGCATGTGTCTATGTTTGTGTTGCTTCACAGTCCCTGCTGTTCCATAAGGTGTATTTTTATCTGTTTTTTAAATCTAATTTTACTGCTGGCACGAGTTACTTGATGTGGAATAGAGTTCCATGTAGTCATAGCTCTATGTAGTGCTGTGCTCCTCCCATAGTCTGTTCTTGACTTGGGGACTGTGAAGAGACCTCTGGTGGCATGTCTTGTGGGGTATGCATGGGCTGCTGCATAGGAGTCAGGAGAGGACACTGGAGGTGGAGACTTAGCTAGCTTCTTGTCTCCATTCTCCCCCTCTCACAGTTAACTACCCACGGGCACAGATGTCAGTTCAACGTCTAGTTTTGATTTACATTTGGTTGGTTGTCAACTAACGTGAATTCAATGGGAAATCAACATGTCATTGGATTTAGGTGAAATTCCCTTACGTTGATTACTTTTTTCAAATCAAATCAGTTTTCTACGTTGATTCAACGTCATCACATTAAATGATGTGGAAACAATGTTGATTCAACCAGTTTATGCCCAGTGGGGATCTTCAGTCTCCTTGCCTGACGACTCAAACTGAATTATTCCGCTGCTTTATGTTCACTACATACTTCAGTCTGAGTCTGCCATCATCGTTGTTTGTGGTAATGTCAAAATGAGGGGGGTTGTACAAAACAAAGTAATCAGCGATTGGATCATCTCTAACCAATCAGTAATTTTCGAAACACCGCTTTACCCATGTGTTTTCTGGCTCTGGCCCAACCCATCGGTTTCTGGGACCAATCAGAATGGTTAGAATGTGTTTGCGTTCTAGAAATCGTCAGGGATGTACTCAGATCCAAACTCTTTGCAGAGAAGACATTTCCCTGGTTAGTATATAGATAATCTTTGCTACTGCAGATATTTGGAAAAATATAGCTTTGGACAACTGCAAAAGTGTTGCTACAGCTCTCACAAACATTGCTGCCCTGAATTTAGCTGGGTAGAAGTAGAGGGACTACTTTCTGGAGGGCAATACCATGCCGACTCATGTGTTTACATGTGTGGGTGGGGTGGGGCTAAGGCTTAAGAGGGTATGCTGAATGGGCGTTAACAAAGAAGGCTCCTGAGTGGCGCAGTGGTCTAAGGCACTGCATCGCAGTGCTAACTGTGCCACTAGAGATCCTGGTTCGAATCCAGGCTCTGTCGCAGCCGGCCGCGACCGGGAGACTCATGGGCGGCGCACAATTGGCCCAGTGTTGTCCAGGGTAGGGGAGGGAATGGCCGGCAGGGATGTAGCTCAGTTGATAGAGCATGGCGTTTGCAACGCCAGGGTTGTGGGTTCGATTCCCACGGGGGGCCAGTATATATAAAAAAAATATGTATTCACTAACTGTAAGTCGCTCTGGATAAGAGCGTCTGCTAAATGACTAAAAATGTAAAAAAAAAAGATCTCTCTAGGAAGTGTAAAAATCTCATCAAATTCTTTCAAAGGGCATTTTCTCCTACTTAAGTGGGATAAGCAGCATTACTTTCCCATGTTTCCTCCAACCATTTTGAAGCTCTGAATCTGTACTTTCATAAAATGCTAAAATAAGCAAATCACTTACATTTGATATAAGCCTCAATAGAGAAATCTGGATACTTATGCATGTGCTTATTTCTCACCTTCCGCTTTAAAGATATCAACTTTTTGATTGCTGATAAATGGCGGAGAGAGGGTAAGAGGTAAGGAGTTTTGAGTGTGTTTTAAAGTGGGAGAGATAAATGCTATGCCTATCAAGCACTTAGAGTGATTGATCTCTCTCTCTCTCTCTCTCTCTCTCTCTCTCTCTCTCTCTCTCTCTCTCTCTCTCTCTCTCTCTCTCTCTCTCCTACAGCCCATGCATTTCTAACATGGTGAAGGGCTTCCTAAGCACTTCCTCTCAATCGTTAACCTCGTATTAGTTTCAGCCTCAGCTGCCACCTGGCTGTCCTCTCTCTCACTCTGCTTTAAACTATTTCTCTTTTTAAGAGGGGTGAGTTTTTCTTGGGTCTGAGCTGGGGGTAATGACACTATTGATTGGCAAGTGCCCGTGATAGCGCAAGCGCAGGAAACATTTATATTAGACCACCCTAGCGCTCTGTCGATTAGGCCAGTGAGAAGATACAGGAGAATAGCATTGCCTCATTGCCAACAAATGTCGTGTTAAATGCATACCTGTTAAGATATACACTGAGTGTACAAAACACCTGCTCTTTCCATGACATAGACTGACCAGGTGAATCCAGGTGAAAGCTATGATCCCTTATTGATGTCACCTGTTAAATCCTATTCAATCAGTGTAGATGAAGGGGAGGAGACAGGTTAAAGAAGGATTTCTAAGCCTTGAGACATGGATTGTGTATGTGTGTCATTCAGAGGGTGAATGGGCAAGACAAAAAGGGGTATAGTAGTAGGTGCCAGGCACACCGGTTCGAGTGTGTCAAGAACTGCAACGCTGCTGGGTTTTTCACGCTCAACAGTTTCCCGTGTGTATCAAGAATGGTCCACCACTCAAAGGACATCCAGCCAACTTGACACAACTGTGGAAAGCATTGGAGTCAACATGGGCCAGCATCCCTGTGGAATGATTTTGAAACCTTGTAGTCCCATGCCCTGACAAATTGAGGCTGTTGTGAGGGCAATAGGGGGTGCAACTCAATATTAGGAAGGTGTTCTTAATGTTTTGTACACTCAGTGTAGATACATGTGGTTAAGCAATTGCATTGACTTTGTTCAATTTAATCCTAAAGGCCACTGGTCCCAAGCTTCAGCCCGTACCTCTCACTGATGGTCTGTGTCCCTGTCTCTAGGAGTGTGCTGGTGAGCCTCTGTTCATGCTGTACTGTGCCATGAAGCAGCAGATGGAGAAGGGGCCTATAGACTCTATCACAGGAGAGGCTCGCTACTCCCTCAGTGAGGACAAGCTCATCAGACAGCAGATCGACTACAAGACCCTGGTGAGTGCTGTCAACTAGAAATATTTTACAGGACGATAAGGATTTTTAATCAAATGTATGATTTACCTTTGAGAAGGCAGTGAGGTTTGTAGGATTTGTCATTACCTCAGTGACCCTAATTAGTGCTTGCTGCTTGAGTAGTCAATTCGAATAGCTGCAAATGCCAACTTATTTAACTGAACAGAGCTGAACCTAATTCTGCTCCCCTCCCTCCCCTGCCAGACTCTCCACTGTATGAACCCGGAGAACGAGAACGCCTCGGAGGTGACAGTGAAGGGGCTGAACTGTGACACCATCACCCAGGTGAAGGAGAAGCTGCTGGATGCTGTTTACAAGGGCAGCCCCTACTCCCAGAGACCCAAGGCTGGGGACATGGACCTGGGTAAGAAGACCAGTGCTTAGTGAGTGTGTGTGTGTGTGTTTGTGTTTACTGTGTGTCGGGGCTGCCTGCCTGCCTGTCTGCCTGGCTGTCTGCCTGCCTGTCTGTCTGTCTGCCTGTCTCCGCTCAATTCTCATCCTCATCTTCTCTTCACAGAGTGGCGTCAGGGCAGGATGGCCAGAATCATCCTTCAGGATGAGGATGTCACCACCAAGATCGATAATGACTGGAAACGCCTCAACACACTGGCCCACTATCAGGTGAGAGCAGAGGGCTGGGAGTGAGTGGGCTGGGGTTGCCATAGTGTGGTTATATCTATGCAAACAGACAGTGCATGGAGTGATTGACAAGACAACATTTACAAGACAGCCCTTTGTTTTTCAATCCTTTTAGGTGACGGACGGCTCAGTGATCGCTCTGGTGCCAAAGCAGAACTCGGCCTACAACATATCCAACTCCTCTACCTTCACAAAGTCTCTCAGCAGATATGGCGAGTCTCTCTTTCTCCTTTCTTTTTCCCTCAATCTCTCTCTCAATCTCTGTCTTTCCCTCTCTGTCTTTCTTGATAGTAAGCAAGATTTGACTCAGCCTCTCTGAATAGAGAGAACCATAAATCCACCAATATCAAGCCAACACCATTTAAGAGGCATTTCCACCATCTAGGAAATAACAGGCATTACATCAGACACCTCACTCCTCCTGCCAGAGACTGAAGACCAATAGCTAACACAGACACACCTCTGAACACAGCCTCAGCTGTACATCACAACAGTGTAACCAGCTCTCTGGCAAAAGCCTTTTTTCCGAGGGCTTTCACCTTTGTTGTTTTCCCTTCTCTCTCCTCAAGTGTGTCTGTGTGTTAAGGGGTTACGATAGCAACGCTGACAGGCCAGTGAAAGCCAGGCTGGTTTGTTAGTCCACAGAGAGAATAGCCAAGCCCTGGCTGTTGTAAGAGCAGACGTAAACGTCCACCACTCTCCCCCAGAAAACCAATGGACATGAAATGTACAGGCACTCAAGCAGCAGTAGCAACAGCAGCAGTAGTAGCAGCCTCATTTTACATTTACATTTTACGTCATTTAGCAGACGCTTTTATCCAGAGCGACTTACAGTTAGTGCATACATTATTCTTTTTTATTTTCATACCCCATGGGAATCGAACCCACAACCCTGGCGTTGCAAACGCCATGCTCTACCAACTGAGCTACCTCCCTGCCGGCCATTCCCTCCCCTACCCTGGACGACGCTGGGCCAATTGTGCGCCGCCCCATTGGTCTCCCGGTTGCGGCCGGCTAAAGCAGAGCCTCATGATGAAAGTCCAATAGAAGTAGGAGTACTATTGGCTGCTGGGAGAGTGGCTACAGTGGAGAAAATGTTCTGGTGTGAACAAGCTGATACTGGGTTGACAAGGTCGTTGGCATGGAGACCAATCTTAGTCACACTGGTTCCGTTTTCGTTTCGGTCATCACTGGTTTTAACACCTCCACTAGAAATACAGTTGAAGTCGGAAGTTTACATACACTTAGGTTGGAGTCATTAAAACTCATTTTTCAACCACTCCACAAATTTCTTGTTAACAAACTATAGTTTTGGCAAGTCGGTTAGGACATCTACTTTGTGCATGACACAAGTAACTTTTCCAACAATTGTTTACAGATTATTTCACTTATAATTCACTATCACAATTCCAGTGGGTCAGAAGTTTACATACACTAAGTTGACTGTGCCTTTAAACAGCTTGGAAAATTCCAGAAAATGATGTCATGGCTTTAGAAGCTTCTGATAGGCTAATTGAAAATAATTTGAGTCAATTGGAGGTGTACCTGTGGATGTATTTCAAGGCCTACCTTCAAACTCAGTGCCTCTTTGCTTGACATCATGGGAAAACCAAAAGAAATCAGCCAAGACCTCAGAAAAAAATTTGTAGACCTCCACAAGTCTGGTTCATCCTTGGGAGCAATTTCCAAACGCCTGAAGGTACCACGTTCATCTGTACAAACAATAGTACGCAAGTATAAACACCATGGGACCACGCAGCCGTCGTACTACTCAGGAAGGGGACGCATTCTGTCTCCTAGAGATGAACGTACTTTGGTGCAACAGCAAAGGACCTTGTGAAGATGCTGGAGGAAACAGGTACAAAAGTATCTATATCCACAGTAAAACGTGTCCTATATCTCTGTTTGGCCATAATGACCATCGTTATGTTTGGAGGAAAAAGGGGGTTGCTTGCAAGCCGAAGAACACCATCCCAACCGTGAAGCACGGGGGTGGCAGCATCATGCTGTGGGGGTGCTTTGCTGCAGGAGGGACTGGTGCACTTCACAAAATAGATGGCATCATGAGGAAAGAAAATGATGTGGATATATTGAAGCAACATCTCAAGACATCAGTCAGGAAGTTAAAGCTTGGTCGCAAATGGGTCTTCCAAATGGACAATGACCCCAAGCATACTTCCAAAGTTGTGGCAAAATGGCTTAAGGACAACAAAGTTAACGTATTGGAGTGGCCATCACAAAGCCCTGACCTCAATCCTATAGAAAATGTGTGGGCAGAACTGAAAAGGCGTGTGCGAGCAAGGAGCCCTTCAAACCTGACTCAGTTACACCAGCTCTGTCAGGAGGATGTCACGCCCTGACCTAGAGAACTCTTGTTGGTTGGGTCAGGGTGTGAGTTCAGTTTGAGATCTATGTTATGGTATTTCTATGTTGGATTCTAGTATTTGTATTTCTATGTTTCTATGTTTGGCCGGGTGTGATTCCCAATAAGAGGCAGCTGTCGCTCGTTGTCTCTGATTGGGGGTCATACTTAGTTGTGGGATCTTGACTTGCGGTTGGCTTGTTGTTTTGTAGCCACTGTTTGAGCTTCACGTTTCGTTGTTTTGTTATTTTGTCAAGTGTTTATTCGTATTAATAAACATGTACGCATACCACGCTGCACCTTGGTCTGACCCGTCTCTCAACGATCGTGACAGAGGAATGGGCCAAAATTCACCCAACTTATTGTGGGAAGCTTGTGGAAGGCTACCCAAAACGTTTGATCGAAGTTAAACAATTTAAAGGCAATGCTACCAAATACTAATTGCGTGTATGTAAACTTCTGACCCACTGGGAATGTGATGAAAGAAATAAAAGCTGAAATAAATCATTCTCGCTGCTATTATTCTGACATTTCACATTCTTAAAATAAAGTGGGGATTCTAACTGACCTAAAACAGGGAATTCTTACTAGGATTAAATGTCAGGAATTGTGAAAAACTGAGTTTAAATGTATTTGGCTAAGGTGTATGTAAACTTCCGACTTCAACTGTATGTGTAGCAGGAGTTAGTCTCGGTGTTTAAATACTACAGGGCCCATATTTACAAATTGTCTCAGAGTAGGAGTGCTGATCTAGGATCAGGTCCCGCCTGTTATTCATTAAGATTTAGAAGGCAAATTGTACTCCTACTCTGAGACGCTTTGTGAATACCAGAAATAAGTCTCTCACTGTTGCCGCTTGCTACAGACCCCCCTCAGCCCCCAGCTGTGCCCTGGACACCATATGTGAATTGATTGCCCCCCATTTATCCTCAGAGTTTGTACTGCTTGGTGACCTAAATTGGGATATGCTTAATACCCCAGCCATCCTACAATCCAAGCTAGATGCCCTCAACCTCACGCAAATTATCAACGAACCTACCAGGTACAACCCTAAATCCGTAAACATGGGTACCCTCATAGATATCATCCTGACTAACATACCCTCTAAATACACCTCAGCTGTCTTCAACCAGGATCTCAGCGATCACTGCCTTATTGCCTGCGTCCGTAACGGGTCCGCGGTCAAACGGCCACCCCTCATCACTGTCAAACGCTCCCTAAAACACTTTAGCGAGGAGGCCTTCCTAATTGACCTGGCCCAGGTATCCTGGATGGATATAGATCTCATTCCGTCAGTAGAGGATGCCTGGTTGTTCCTTAAAAGTAATTTCCTCTCAATCTTAAATAAACATGCCCCATTCAAAAAATACAGAACTAAGAACCGATATAGCCCCTGGTTCTCCTCAGACTTGACTGCCCTTGACCAGCACAAAAACATCCTGTGGCGTACAGCATTAGCATCAAATAGCCCCCGCGATATGCAACTTTCAGGGAAGTTAGGAACCAATATACACAAGCAGTCAGGAAAGCAAAGGCTAACTTTTTCAAACAGAAATTTGCATCCTGTAGCACTAACTCCAAAAAGTTTTGGGACACTGTAAAGTCCATGGAGAATAAGAGCACTTCCTCCCAGCTGCCCACTGCACTGAGGCTAGGAAACACTATCACCACCGATAAATCTACAATAATCGAGAATTTCAACAAGCATTTTGCTACAGCTGGCCATGCTTTCCATCTGGCTACCACTAACCCGGCCACCAACTCTGCACCCTCTGCTGCAACTTGCCCATGCCCCCCCCGCTTCTCCTTCACACAAATTCAGACAGCTGATGTTTTGAAAGCGCTGCAAAATCTGGACCCCTACAAATCAGCTGGGCTAGACAATCTGGACCCTTTCTTTCTAAAACTAGCCGCCGAAATTGTCGCAACCCCTATTACTAGTCTGTTCAACCTCTCTTTCATAACGTCTGAGATCCCCAGAGATTGGAAAGCTGCCGCGGTCATCCCCCTCTTCAAAGGGGGTGACACTCTAGATCCAAACTGCTACAGACCTATATCCATCCTGCCCTGCCTTTCGAAAGTATTCGAAAGCCAAGTTAACAAACAGATCATCGACCATTTCGAATACCACCGTACCTTCTCCGCTATGCAATCCGGTTTCCGAGCTGGTCACGGGTGCACGTCAGCCACGCTCAAGGTCCTAAACGATATTATAACCGCGATTGATAATAGACAGTACTGTGCAGCCGTCTTCATCGACCTGGCCAAGGCTTTCGACTCTGTCAACCACCGCATTCTTATTGGCAGACTAAATAGCCTTGGTTTCTCAAATGACTGCCTCGCCTGGTTCACCAACTACTTCTCAGATAGAGTTCAGTGTGTCAAATCGGAGGGCCTGTTGTCTGGACCTATGGCAGTCTCTATGGGGGTGCCACAGGGTTCAATTCTTGGGCCGACACTTTTCTCCGTGTATATCAATGATGTCGCTCTTGCTGCTGGTGACTCTCAGATCCACCTCTACGCAGACGACACCATTTTGTATACATCTGGCCCTTCATTGGACACTGTGTTAACAAACCTCCAAACGAGCTTCAATGCCATACAACAATCCTTCAGTAGCCTTCAACTGCTCTTAAACACTAGTAAAACTAAATGCATGCTTTTCAATCGAACGCTGCTAGCACCCGCCCACCCAACTAGAATCACCACTCTCGACGGGTCTGACCTAGAGTATGTGGACAACTACAAATATCTAGGTGTCTGGTTAGACTGTAAACTCAACTTCCAGACTCACATAAAGAATCTCCAATCCAAAGTTAAATCTAGAATCGGCTTCCTATTTCGCAACAAAGCCTCCTTCACTCATGCTGCCAAACATGCCCTCGTAAAACTGACTATCCTACCGATCCTTGACTTCGGCGATGTCATTTACAAAATAGCCTCCAACACTCTACTCAGCAAACTGGATGTAGTCTATCACAGTGCCATCCGTTTTGTCTCCAAAGCCCCATACACTACCCACCACTGTGACCTGTACGCTCTTGTTGGCTGGTCCTCACTACATGTTCGTCGTCAAACCCACTGGCTCCAGGCCATCTATAAATCACTGCTAGGCAAATCCCCGCCTTATCTTAGCTCATTGGTCACCATAGCAGCACCCACCCGTAGTCTGCGCTCCAGCAGGTATATCTCACTGGTCATTCCCAAAGCCAACACCTCCTTTGGCCGCCATTCCTTCCAGTTCTCTGCTGCCAATGACTGGAACGAATTGCAAAAATCTCTGAAGCTGGAGACTCTTATCTCCCTCAATAACTTTAAGCATCAGTTGTCAGAGCACCTTACCGATCACTGCACCTGTACACAGCCCATCTGAAATTAGCCCACCCAACTACCTCATCCCTATATTGTTATTTATTTTGCTCTTTTGCACCCCAGTATCTCTATTTGCACATAATCTCTTGCACATCTAGCATTCCAGTGTTAATACTATTGTAATTATTCTGCACTATAGCCTATTTATTGCCTTACCTCCATAACTTGCTACATTTGCACACACTGTATATATATTTTCTGTTGTATTTCTGACTTTGTTTTTTTACCCCATATGTAACTCTGTGTTGTTTTTATTGCACTACTTTGCTTTTTCTTGGCCAGGTCGCAGTTGTAAATGAGAACCTGTTCTCAACTGGCTTACCTGGTTAAATAAAGGTGAAAAAAAATAAAAAATACAGGCCCAGATCTCAGTAGAATGAATTGGGTATATTCAGGTCAGTGCTCTTATGCCCCACTGTTCTTTTAATTGTGTCTAGTGGAAAGAAACAACAAACCAAGAAGCACTGACACACATTAGTCTAGCAGTGTTTCCAGCACCATCTCTCTGTGTCATTGAGTTTCTGAACTTCACTTCTCTCATCCTCTCACCCTGAAAGCCAGGGTGATCTCCCTGCGCTCAGACACTCAGAAGCTCAGAAGCCCCCAGCGTCACTCTATCATTCAGACAGTCTGATAGAGATAGATTGAAGTTGTTTTTTCTCCCTCCGTTCTCTCATCCCTCCCTCCATACACCTGAATTCTGGCCACCCTCCCTCCTCTCCAGGCAGCCTCCCTCCCTCCTCTCCAGGCAGCCTCCCTCCCTCCTCTCCAGGCAGCCTCCCTCCCTCCTCTCCAGGCAGCCTCCCTCCCTCCCATGCTGGCTGCCACTGCAGCAGGCTGGCTGATAAGAGGAACACGGCAGATAGGCATCTCTTTGGTCTCCCGTAATGAAGTTTGACACTCACACCATTAATAATGAAGCAGTGCATGGAGGCAGGCGGCCCCCGGGAGGAGACGAGATGAGAGGAGGGAGACAGAAACTCACACAATGGAGCCTGTACAGCCTGACTCATACAGTACCACAGGAAGGGAGGATATTGGTGTTGTGTATGGGTTCTATTATATCCACCACTCTAACATTATGGGTCATTTGGGGTGGGGAGAGGGACGAGATGGAGATGGAAGGGCTGGTTGTAAAAACCTGTTGAAGAAGATAAGACAGAAAGCAGATTCTCTATCCTATCTCCTCTCTCGGCCCTGGCACAATGAAGAAGAGGTGCGCCATTTTCGTTCTCCCACTTCGCTAATTAGTTATAGTCTGCCAATTGAGTGTAATGAGTTAGCCATCGCTCCTCGTTCCTTAGTTGAGGCCTAATCATTTCTCTCACCATCCATCCACCTTTCTGATGTGCAATAGGAGTTTATATAATAGGAGAGGCTACAGGGATATGTTGTCTTGCTCATTAATGTTCTCTCCATCTCAGAGGTCAGGTCCCAGTGGATTATGGGTTGTGACCTTGTGACAGACAAACTGATACTCTGCTCCTCAAGCTGGCACAGTCTTTGTTCTGGCTGGATGACTGCCAGATATAGACAGCCCATAGAGCCCTTTCTTCACCAGACTAAATATGTTTGTTTTCTAATTTATGTTTGTACACTACGTGCAGCGCTTGGCAAGGGTCAGATCAATACACATTTTTAAAGCAACATTTTGATCTGAAATGTGTGATTAAACAAGTGTGTCACAGTTGAAGTTCTCATAACACAATAGCACATGGAACCATAAACATTAAAACCAGTAGATAGTGATAGCACTGACGTCATCCACGTATTCCAATGGAAAACTCCTGATGGCGCATGACGTATTTGAAGCGTGCCATATTGCTGAATGCCGATTGTAATTTACATAGGCTTTCTAGGGAAGACCAGTGCTTTTGGCACCAGCCGAGCTCGTGACTTCACGCTCCAGACCGGACACTGGGGGCCTGCATGGAACCAGGGAGTCAGACTGGTGTTCTGTTCTGTTCTGGTCATCTTGTTCCATTGACCCCTATAGACCTCTGCATTGCGTGTTCCTGATTAACCTCTTAAGGATCGGAACCTTTTTTTCGCATAAATGACATACCCAAATCTAACTGCCTGTAGCTCAGGACCTGAAGCAAGGATATGCCTATTCTTGATACCATTAGAAAGGAAACACTTTGAAGTTTGGGGAAATGTGAAATTAATGTAGGAGAATATAACACATTAGATCTGGTAAAAGATAATACAAACAAAAAAACATGAGTTTTTTTTGTTCCATCATCTTTGAAATGCACACAGAAAGGCCACAATATAATATTGCAGTTTAGGCGCAATTTAGATTTTGACCACTAGATGGGAGCAGTGTGTGTGCAAAGTTTCAGATTGATCAAGTGAAGCATTGCAATACTGGACTATTTTGTATCAAGTCTGCCCAAATGTGCCGAATTGGTCAATTGATACATTTTCAAGTACATAACCATAGAGAAAATGATATGTCACCTACAAGGACACCGATCCCGTAGAGGTTAACCTGCCTTTCTCCTGATGGCCTTGTCTTTGTTCTGATGTGCCTATCTCTCTCGTCTCCATCCAGAGAGCATGTTGCGGACAGCCAGCAGTCCAGACAGTCTGCGCTCCCGCACTCCCATGATCACGCCCGACCTGGAGAGTGGTACCAAGCTGTGGCACCTGGTCAAGAACCACGACCACTCTGACCAGCGCGAGGGAGACCGCGGCAGCAAGATGGTCTCTGAGATCTATCTGACCCGTCTGCTCGCCACGAAGGTAAGATTACATAGACACCAGACCAACCTATACCACGCCTACAGAAATTACATGTACTGTTGATGTAAGTCAACTTTAATATCTGAATGTTGAGTAAGTCATTGTAATGCCCTCCATATGTAAAGAGTTTTTCCTGGTTAAAGAGGACCTATCTTCTTCGGTAGTCCCTTGATGTGCTTGTCTCTGCTAAATGGCTAAAATGTAAACAGCTCAGCCTCCATTGCTGTATTCTTCTGGCGTCCCTCAGACAATTCCCTGCTAAAGGGCTTGCCTGCCTGCCACTCTCCTCCTCTCGTCTAGCTGCCTCAGAGCTGATTGTTTCGCTCCTAATTGTAGGGAAAGAAAAAAAAAAGGAAATTAGACGCTGTTTACAAGCCTCTTGGGTGGTCAATTTCGATTCATAATTTTTTTAAAAGATGGATAAATATAATGCGGGGAGTAGAGAAGGATAAATAGCAGGAGACAAGTCATTTGTTGTGGGATTGAGTGTTTTGTGGCGCATGATGCAGAGAAGCGAATGGAATTTGATCTTGGAGGAGCAGAATGTGGCATCCTCTCCACAGCCACTCCCCCTTAATGGGGGAAATTAATCTCAGTTGTTTGATTTGAAATCTGTAGGTGTGTAATTGGCGAAGAACTCTGACCACTTAGCCTCTCTCCTCTCATCCCTACTCTCCTCAGGGTACGTTGCAGAAGTTTGTGGACGACTTGTTTGAGACCATCTTCAGCACGGCTCACCGTGGCAGCGCCCTGCCTCTTGCCATCAAGTATATGTTTGACTTCCTGGACGAGCAGGCTGACAAACACTCCATATCAGACTCAGACGTACGGCACACCTGGAAGAGCAATTGGTGAGACACATTACAGAACAAATAGTAATGGTTTGGTTGGCTGTTTCTTCTGTATATGTGTATTTGGTTGATGGTATCCATCTTCTCATGATGACTCTCAATTCCCAGTTTGCCTCTGCGGTTCTGGGTGAACGTGATCAAGAATCCCCAGTTTGTGTTTGACATCCATAAGAACAGCATCACAGACGCCTGTCTGTCTGTGGTGGCCCAGACCTTCATGGACTCCTGCTCCACGTCAGAACACAAACTGGGCAAAGACTCGCCCTCCAACAAGCTGCTCTACGCCAAGGATATCCCCAACTACAAGAACTGGGTGGAGAGGTATGAATGACAGCGAGCTCAACTATCTTCTAGTCTATAAGATTATCAATTTCAACGCTTTGTGACATGAAGGTGTGGTCCTCTGTAGCTCAACTGGTAGAGCATGGCGCTTGTAACGCCAGGGTAGTGGGTTCGATCCCCGGGACCACCCATACCTAAAAAAATAAAATAAATGCACACATGACTGTAAGTCGCTTTGGATAAAAGCGTCTGCTAAATGGCATATATTTTTTTTATATATATATATATATATAAGGTTGTTGACAAGTACTTGATTGAGCCCTTTACCTTTTCATCCCAGTCCTTCACATACACAACTAAAGAGTTGTCCTCTCCAGTCCAGGATGCTAACCCCCTCACTCTCTGCTCCCCTCCTGTCCTGTAGGTACTACTCCGACATCTCCCGTATGCCGGCCATCAGTGACCAGGACATGAGTGCCTACCTGGCTGAACAGTCCCGGCTGCACCTCAGCCAGTTCAACAGCATGAGCGCTCTGCACGAGATCTACTCCTATATCATCAAGTACAAAGATGAGGTGAGTCCCCAGTATATTATTAAGCTATTACAATATTAATCATAGACATTATAATAGTTTAATAATATAGATATCTAATGTATTTTATTAATATATGTTAGTCACAGCATGAAGAGATCAGAATATAATTGCCATTGGTTCTGTATGTTAACACAGGGGTGAGACAGAATAACTTTGTATGTGCCCTCTAGTTTTCATGATGAATGGAATGTGGGCATTCTAATTCAATTAAAAGATAACTGAGTATGCATCCATAAATGCATGCAGCTATTTAAGTAATTAAAGTACATATTATGAAACTAATGGACCTCATTGGATTTATGTGTTTTATTAATTCTCCCATGTGCTATCCTTCCGGGGAGTTCATTAACACATTATATTCCATGTGCATGAATATATTTCCCCACCAAAATAGACAGACTAATCATTCTTGAAACGTTGCTTATGCATTGAGGCAGAGCCAGTGTAGTGTAACTACTCCATGCAGGAGATGTGAATGAGACTGTACACTTAGTGCTAATTCTCAGAGAGCTGAGCAGAGCCTGGAAAGGGCTAAAGTCAGTGACTCACGGAGACTGGGCTGTGGAAATTGAGAGATAATGAGGTAGTGCAGAAGCAGAAGCTCCCTCCACTCTATCCACTCCCAGCCATTAGGACAGCCAGCCAGCCAGCCAGGGAGGAAGGCAATGCTAGGATAGCTACTGTACTGTACTCACTCTGAGAGAGTGTCTGCCGTGGCCTTCAAAATCACGTAAACAATGTGTGTCTCTGCTCAGACAATTCCTTCTACCTTGTCGGTTATAGTGCATTGAGTGTGTGCTGTGAGAGGTTCAGGCATCCTCTGTGCTTGCCTTTTCAAAGGGCATGGGGGGAGAGAGCATGGTGGTGGTGGAAGTGTGGGGGGTATATTCAGTCATCTCCACTCAGCATCAGACCCTACTTCTACCCCCCTCCCTCTCCCCTCATCTCTCAGCAGTGCTGGTTCCTGTGTTTGAGGCAACAGCTGCAGCTGCCTCCATTTAAGCAGCCGCTCCCCTTCATTAAGGCTTATTATCCAGATGCGGGCGGCTGCAGGGTCCTCCTCTCGCCCCCCTCATCCGTCACAGCAGCACTAACACATGAGGCATTAGCACTCCATTATGTAGGCTCCTGCATGAGTCACTAACAGCTTGTACACAACTACCTATCTCTGATGGACCCACCAGCACCTCCTCTTCCAGTTCCCATAATGCCATAGTACATACAGGACCTCAGCTGTGCTCTCTATATCCACCCCTCGCAGCTTCCATCGTCATCCACCTGTTTAAATAAAATGTTCATCTATGCAATGTCATACAGTGAGGGAAAAAAGTATTTGATCCCCTGCTGATTTTGTATGTTTTCCCATTGACAAAGACATGATCAGTCTATAATTTTAATGGTAGGTTTATTTGAACAGTGAGAGACAGAATAACAACAAAAAAATCCAGAAAAACATGTCAAAAATGTTATAAATTGATTTGCATTTTAATGAGGGAAATAAGTATTTGACCCCTCTGCAAATCATGACTTAGTACTTGGTGGCAAAAGCCTTGTTGGCAATCACAGAGGTCAGACGTTTCTAGTAGTTGGCCACCAGGTTTGCACACATCTCAGGAGGGATTTTGTCCCACTCCTCTTTGCAGATCTTCTCCAAGTCATTAAGGTTTCGAGGCTGACGTTTGGCAACTCGAACCTTCAGCTCCCTCCACAGATTTTCTATGGGATTAAGGTCTGGAGACTGGCTAGGCCACTCCAGGACCTTAATGTGCTTCTTCTTGAGCCACTCCTTTGTTGCCTTGGCCGTGTGTTTTGGGTCATTATCATGCTGGAATACCCATCCACGACCCATTTTCAATGCCCTGGCTGAGGGAAGGAGGTTCTCACCCAAGATTTGACGGTACAAGTCCCCGTCCATCGTCCCTTTGATGCGGTGAAGTTGTCTTGTCCCCTTAGCAGAAAAACACCCCCAAAGCATAATGTTTCCACCTCCATGTTTGACGGTGGGGATGGTGTTCTTGGGGTCATAGGCAGCATTCCTCCTCCTCCAAACACGGCGAGTTGAGTTGATGCCAAAGAGCTCGATTTTGGTCTCATCTGACCACAACGCTTTCACCCAGTTCTCCTCTGAATCATTCAGATGTTCATTGGCAAACTTCAGACGGGCCTGTATATGTGCTTTCTTGAGCAGGGGGACCTTGCGGGCGCTGCAGGATTTCAGTCCTTCACGGCGTAGTGTTTTACCAATTGTTTTCTTGGTGACAATGGTCCCAGCTGCCTTGAGTTCATTGACAAGATCCTCCCGTGTAGTTCTGGGCTGATTCCTCACCGTTCTCATGATCATTGCAACTCCACGAGGTGAGATCTTGCATGGAGCCCCAGGCCGAGGGAGATTGACAGTTCTTTTGTGTTTCTTCCATTTGCGAATAATCGCACCAACTGTTGTCACCTTCTCACCAAGCTGCTTGGCGATGGTCTTGTAGCCCATTCCAGCCTTGTGTAGGTCTACAATCTTGTCCCTGACAACCTTGTAGAGCTCTTTGGTCTTGGCCATGGTGGAGAGTTTGGAATCTGATTGATTGATTGCTTCTGTGGACAGGTGTCTTTTATACAGGTAACAAGCTGAGATTAGGAGCACTCCCTTTAAGAGTGTGCTCCTAATCTCAGCTCGTTACCTGTATAAAAGACACCTGGGAGCCAGAAATCTTTCTGATTGAGAGGGGGTCAAATACTTATTTCCCTCATTAAAATGCAAATCAATTAATAACATTTTTGACATGCGTTTTTCTGGATGTTTTTGTTGTTATTCTGTCTCTCACTCTTCAAATAAACCTACCATTAAAATTATAGACTGATCATTTCTTTGTCAGTGGGCAAACGTACAAAATCAGCAGGGGATCAAAAACTTTTTTCCCTCACTGTATAGTAGACGTTCAACTTTCCATGTTCATACTGAGGTAAACTATGGATGTGAGAGCACTCTGCCTCTGTTTCCTTGTATATTTCTTATATATTCATGAGTAAACAGGTGTATGGTGTTTGTAGGGAAAGATATCAACTGTTTGTATGCTTCTACATGAAAGTATTTGGTATTGTAAATACCTATAAATAGCCTACTCATGCCACCATCACGGCATGTTTGCTTCAACAGCTGTTTAAAAACTGACAGATGTTCTGATAGACTTTCTCTGTCGGTGATCCACCCTGCTGATCTATTGACCCATCTCCCGCTCTCCTTCTCTTCTTTCTCCCTCTCTCCTCTCTTCTCTCTCCTCCCTCCCCAGATCCTGTCTGCGCTGCAGAAGGATGAACAGTCTCGCAGGCAGAGACTGCGTAGTAAGCTGGAGCAGGTCATCGACACCATGGCCCTGGCCAGCTGAGGAACGGCCTGCAACTGAGGTTTGGAGACGGTAGCAGCTAGGCCTTCTCTCACTGACCCCAGCTCCTGACCCCAACACAACGAGTAAGGACTGCAAGGACACAAGCAGTACACTGGAGACCCACCAGAGTTAGGCCAATCCAAACAACCCCTCATTTATAAACATTTAACGTCCATCTGTCGCCCCAAGAAAGTGTCTTATCATCGCGGTCTTCATCACTGGTTTCAGTTTGTCTTCCGTGTTGATTCATCTACCCACACACAGGACAGCGACTGTGAAGCAGCTGGTTAAAGAAGCCAGGAGATATATATATATATATATATATATATATATATAAGGGGGGCAATGGAGAAAGGACTTCATTTATAAAGCCCCCCTCCCCCTCATGGACGCTTCTGACGCGTCAGCAGACTTTCATGGACGTCGGTTTGATTTTCAAATCTATTTTATTTTCGATTTGGTTGATTTAGTTGTTGATCTTGTGTTTAACAACAGCCTACTCTCTCCAGCGGTGTGCCACTTGTGTTACTGCTGAATTTGCACAATTTACAAAAAAGCTAAATCAAAAGAAGAGGATATAAATATATATATAGATATATAAATACAACTTCATTTTTAAAGAAACAAATGAAAATAGTCAAAAGTTTTCCATTTTAATGTACAAAATACTTTGAAAGAAAAGGATTTGAGATTTCAAAGACTGAACTATGAAAACTTGTCCTGTGCCATGTTTTATTTAAATGTTGTTTAGTGCAAATACTTTTTCTTTAGATAAAATGTGCTATGATTCAAATGTTGTCATGCCTAGTGACTGAAGGTGAGAGTAAAGTAAAAAAAAAAAGGTTAAATGACAAAACAATATTAGTAGCAAGTCAACAAATCGTTAGGTCTTGGGGACTTTCCCGTCTTGGGAGAACATTTGTTTTAATGGTACTGGAAAAACTGGTATGTTATTCCTGTATTTAATACTACCAGTGCTATTGTGGCTTTTAGAAAAACCAAAGGCTTGTTTTTTGTTATACCACTCTGAGCGAAAAACAGCCTCCTGTGTTGACAACCTCACATTCACAGACACCTGAATGAGCTGCCCTCTTGGTTGCATCCACCACCATGCACGCCTCTGTGCACAGGCTCCGGACCACAATGAAGTAGATTACTTTTGTTCTGGGACGTCAAGGTTTTTTGGGAGGCAAATATCATGGCTTAAGGTACTGTGATATTCTGGGCTTTGCTGTTCCACAAAAGTCAGACTCCACAGAAGGATTCATTGGGCTAAATGTAGCAAAGGTTTAATTCACCCACTACCCTTTCAAAGCCTTCCTGAAGTTTTCCCGCTGTCCCCTTCCCTCAGATAGATCACTGTGTTAAGACTGTCATGGTGGACACTGAGGTAGAGGTTTGCAGACAACGTTTTTAAGTAAAGCTTTGAGTGAAGAGTAATCCCTCCTGATTTTAGCCCCTCATGAGAGCAAGAATTGTCACTCTAGTGACTTCAACATTCAACAGTTCTATTTTATTGTAATTAAAAAGATGGTTTAATTTTTGTTGTTGATGTGGTGAAAGTTGTATGAGTTGTTTTCTTTGTACTCTGCAGAAACCAAACAGTGGTTGTGCTAGCAGAGTAGACTCTCCCAGGGTTTCCCTTATGTTCTGTAACGTCATCTGTGACGAGTGTCATCCAAAAGAAAAAATAGGAGTTTTGAAGCGCCAAGGAAGGTGAACATTCAGTATTGTCTTTTCTTTGTTTTTTTAGTCTGCTGTGAAGATGAAAAAACAGACAAATATGTTGAAATGCAAGCATCTGTGATGTGACAAGATAATGAAATGTAGCGCAATCTTTGTGTGTTTTTTAACTGGTTGACGGTTTTTGTTTCCTCAGAAATCGGATACCTTTGTGAAATGCATTGTCTCCCTTTAATATGTTGCATCGATTCCCTTTCGGTCATAAAAAAAAAAAAGCATAATTCCTTCCCCCTCGTCCTCTGAGATTAAAGGAGAGATGGAGGCAAAAAAAAAAACAGCTAAATGTTTGAGAAACCTCTGAAATATTTAGGTCAGTTCTCTGGTGAGAGCCGTGTGGATCACACAGGCTAGAGATGTGATATGTAACCTTGGGCCATCTGTCCATCCATCTATCCTACATCAGGCTTCAACAAAGATGGTGGGATTTAATGAAAATGAAAAGTTTATTTATTTATTATTGTTCTGTTTGGTGTGATATTCTAATATATCCTAATCAATTGGGATCAGGTCTCAATAACACATCATATATTTGGATAGGCATTTACATTTCAGAAAATATATGGATATTTAATATTCACCTTAGTCTCCTCCAGGGCTTTTACTCTCATCCTTCTCTCTTGGTCATCCTCCAATATCAACCCCCTCTAGTTTCTACTCTTCAGCCCAGTCCTGTCCTAACGTTGGCAACTCAATTAAGGTATTTCTATACGGTACACCCCACCCTTCCACCAAACCCTCCCTCCCCTCCCAACCAAACACATAGGGCTGGACTGTACTCTATGCTTGATATCTGAGAGCAGGGCGTATAGAGTAGTTTATGAAACTCAACTTAAACAGGGTTATCTGCCGGTTACTGGCTTTTCCCATACCAAGAGAAGGCCTCTCGTAGTGGAGGGTCGGCATTGACCACTTTTCTGTTCATTCACCCTATTTGTGATGATTTGTGATGGTTTTGCTCTGCCACTGTTCTTCTGTTTAAGCATCTTTTATTACCTGATTGTGCACATTTGTCTCCCGTATTTGTTTAGTGGATGGAAAATGTTTCTGTGTTTAGTGGATGGAAAATGTTTCTGTGTGCTGCCTTCCTCCTGCCTCACACAAGCTAGGCTTTGATAACTGATTGTAAAACAGCTGGTTGCATTATAAAGTCTCAGGGCGGTTCTCCTGCTTTTATGTAGTTTTTCTCTTCTGTTATTTAAGTGGAAGGTTTTTGGATGATGATGATGATTAGCATCTTGGCGGGATTATGGATTAATGTGGTAATCTGTAAAGTCACTCTGTAGAGTATGAAACAAGTTATATTGTAAGTACTGGGGCAGATGGTCTCTCATGTTATCTTTTGTGTTGTTGTTATTTTATTTTACTATGCCACTTGTTGTGTAAAGATGAAAAGAAAACTACTTTTCTACAGAACTCCTTTGAAGTAATCGCTACTTATTTTGTCTGTTCTGTCTGCCTTTGTGAGTTGGGTGGAAGACAGAAAGGAAAGCCAGAGGGAGAGATCCAGATGCTGTTTGATGAACACAGAGCTTTCACTTTGCACTGAGTGCCTTGTCAGCTCCCCCTCCCCTCCCCTCGCTCCCCTCCCTCTCCTTCCCACAACCCTCTATGACCCCTCCATTACCCACATTCCACCACCTGACCATGACCACTCATAACACTGTCACAGGTTTCCCCCTCTGCCACGCCACTGAACAACTTATATCCCTGTCATCCTGATTCCCTCGTTTGGTTTGTTTTGGCATATTGGAAAGCAGTTCCCTTTTTCAAAGTAAATTTAAAAAGGCTTAGGATCAGACATTAAAATATCTAGACAGATTTAAAAATAGAAACTAAAGAGTTGTAATACTTTATGAATTCTGATACCTTTTTAAGAGTTTCAGACTTGAAGCAACTGTGACAGGTTGGCTGTTTCATGCTCGTGTAAATATTCTGCTCTTTCCTATTTTGCAGATTTATTACTTGTAAATAAACACGCATCAAGGAGAGATTAAACATTTTTTGCTAAATCTGTTTGTCTTGTTTTTCTCTGTCTGGCTCTTTGAAATTAGTTCAGCATCCAAGGAATTACAGACAGGCATACACTTAGAAACTACTATGTCCTTAGTTCATATGCAGCTCTAAAGCATTGCAGAATGCAGCAGATTTGATGCCATTCTCTAGTCTCAGTTGTTCCTAGCACATGGCCACCTGCCTAATTCTATTACTCCCATAAACTCCCATCAACAGAACACCAGAATTACTGAATCCTAAAATGACGCTGTCTGAAACAAATGTATTGTATCATATACTGTTGAAATGATCAGATCACTGTTTCTTTTATCGGTGCTGTATCATGTACAGTATTGTAGTCATTTTGTTCTCTCTTTACAGAAATCTGAAGGTATCGCCACCTCGCCTGGAGAGAGTCTCTCTCTCTCTCTCTCTCTCTCTCTGTTTCTCTCTCTATATCTCTCTCTCTTTCTCTCTCTTTCTCTCTCTCTCTCTCTCATTCCCTATGGAGGCGTAGGTATGTCACTGTTGTGACATACAGCTCTGAAGCTGTCCATTAGCAGGCTTGCTGGAAAGTGGTACCTCCCCCCCAGGGGCCTCAGGAGTTGACAAGCACACCATCAATCAAATTAAAAGCACATTACAATAACATAAAGAGGAGAGATTTAGCCCCTAGAGAAATACTGATCTGAAGTATATAGAAGGCTGTCAGTTTGCTTGATGAAATTGACCTGCCGTTATTATTGTAAGTGCCTTTTTCAAGTGTTCTACCTGTGGGGTGATTTCAAATTAATCTATCACTGTTCCTCCCTGCATGTTTGACTTCAGACTGAGGGTAGTTTGACACGCAGGCGCACCAGTCTGGCTCTCCAGGCGCCCCGGTCTGGCTCTCCAGGCACCCCGGTCTGGCTCTCCAGGCACCTCGGTCTGGCTCTCCAGGCACCCCGGTCTGGCTCTCCAGGCACCCCGGTCTGGCTCTCCAGGCGCCCCGGTCTGGCTCTCCAGGCACCCCGGTCTGGCTCTCCAGGCGCCCCGGTTTGGTTCTCCAGGCACCCCGGTCTGGCTCTCCAGGCGCCCCGGTTTGGTTCTCCAGGCACCCCGGTTTGGCTCTCCAGGCGCCCCGGTCTGGCTCTCCAGGCGCCCCAATCTGGCTCTCCAGGCACCCCGGTCTGGCTCTCCAGGCGCCCCAGTCTGGCTCTCCGTGGTCTCTAGTTTCCCATGGTGATGTCTTAACCATTAGGTCTTAACGGAGCAGAGGGTTT